GAAAGAAAGAAAGAAAGAAAGAAAGAAAGAAAGAAAGAAAGAAAGAAAGAAGAAAGAAAGAAAGAAAGAAAAAGATAGATTATAACCACTAGACATAAAAATGAACAATAATGCCACAATAGCACCAGAGAATTTTTAAAATACAGATTCCCAGGCCCTGACCCAGACCTACTGAAACTTGGAAATATGCAGGCTTCACACCCAGAGATTCTGGTTAGGTTGGTCTGATGCAGGACCTGTAACCAGAATTGTAACACCTCCAGATAATGCTGAGCCTGCTGGTGCTCAGAGAAAACCTGAAGAAAACCAGGAAGTCTGAGGTTTTCCAGAAGAAAACCAGAGTCCTGAGAAGACAGAGGCACTCAGTGAGGACCCAAGCAGAGCAGGTGAATGTCACATCCTCACTTCTGGCATCCTTTCTCCTACAAGAGGAGAGACTGAAAGACCCTCTTCCGGTCCCCAGTGGTGTGGCCAAGAGGCCTGCGCCTCTGACTCTTGTCTCTGTGAAAGCCCACACCCACCAAGCCTATGGTCCTATGACCAAGGGCGCTGCGAATGACGAACTGACTAGACAGGGAGGTCTCCTGCAGTTTGTTTCTACACAGAGGTCACCTGTCAGAGGCCAGCGTGGGCACAAGCCCCCCAAACTCCAAGAACCCCGGGATAAGGAGGCTGCTTCAAGTGGGTGGGGCACCAAGCCGGCCAGGAGGGACAGGGCTTCTCCCAGCGGTACCAACCTGGTGGCACCTTCTGCCTGCATTTCCCAGGCTTGCTGGTTGGCCGCTGGGGGGAGGGGAGAAGGGGTGGTGGCCGGGCGGTGGTCGGCTCTGCCTCGGTGGTGACTGGACTGCCGTTGACACTGTTCTCTGTGCGGATGGAGATAAAGCCGGTCACTCCAGATTCTAATCAGAGCGCACAGGAGAGGAGCTGGCGTTGCTTCAGTGGCGAGGATGGGTTGATCAGTCCCAGCCGGTGCTAGGGAGAGACACTGGCCCCAGCCTGAGGGCTGCACCGCCCACCCCAGGACCCTCCTAGCAGGAGGGCAGGAACACAAGCCAACCTCTGTAGTCTCCGGCCTGAGAGGGGAACATGATCAAGCCCCGGGCAGCCGCCAGTCGGAGGGGGCAGACGCGGCCCCAGTAGCCTCTGGAGACCCTCTTCCGAGGCAAGGAGCCACAGTCCTGCCATTGGGACCACCAAAGAGGATTTCTACAAACCAAGGTCGAGAACTTTTCGGTGGGGACGCGGCCCACCCCTCGCGGGGGAGGGAGCGCAGCCGTCACCCCGTACTCACTCAGCAACACCGGGTGCCGCGCCGGGTGAAGGCTGGCAGGCGTCTCCCGACCGGCAGGTGGGCTCCGCGTGCCCCAAGTGCGCAGGCACGGGTGCGCGGGGCCACAGCCTGGCGCCCTTTGCAGCCGGCCACCCCTCCCCTTCCCCGGGGGCTTTTGCACACGACGCGCCGCGGGCCGCTTCACACGGGGTGGCGAGGCCCGGATAAAGTCGGCGGCCGCTGGGCTCAGCGGCGGACCTGAGACGTGGGGGCGCTAGGCGCGCGGAGCCAGAGCCGGACCAGCAGCCGCAACGGCAGCCGGGGGACCGCAGGGCCCGGGTCGGGGTAAGCGCAGCTCGCGCGTGAGCGCCACCCGGAGTCCCGCGCGCAACTTCCAGGGCGCACTCGGCGGGCGGGGGCGGCGCTGCCGGGACCCGGCGCTGGGCAGCATGGAGGCCACGGAGAAGCAGCACCTGTTGGACGCCAGGCCCGCAGTCCGGTACGACGAGAGCTTGGGGACAGGCGGAAATTTGGGCGGCAGCCGACGCACCTCCGCGCTTGCCATCCTAGCAGTGGTTCGTTTTGGCGGCGGCTTGAGCTGGGGGCACGCAGGAAGGGTGGGGTGAGGCGAGGGCTGTGGCCCAGGGTCCCCTGGGGCCCAGCACAGATCCTGACCCCTGCCCCTGGGGGGTGGGTGAGTGGCGGTTCCCCTCCCTGGAATCCTGCCCCGCCCAGCACTTTGCCCCAGGCAGTCCCGCCCCCGGGAGGCCCTGTGTCCCAAGTGTGCTGGAGGGGGACCTGCTCTTCTCCCAGAGCCTGCGCTCTGTTCCTTCCCCATGCTCCACTGGACGGCACGCCCCTTGGCCGGTTCCCAGGGTCTTGGCCTCCTCTGGCCTCTGAAGGGATTGAGGAGGAGAGAACACTCCGGGACCAGGACTCCAAGACTCCCATTCCCTTAGCATCCCCGTCTGAACACAGGCTTCTCACCTCTGGTCACTCCTCAGGGATTGTCGACTTGGAGTGTTCTTACCTATTTTTTCCAGTGGACACAGGCCTCACAGAGAAATGGAACCAGAGTCCGCCCTCCTTGCCCCATCTCAGAGCTGAGCATGCCCCCTCTCTTCCTCTCTGGCCAGGACATACACGGGATCTCTGTGGCAGGACGGGGCTGGCTGGATCCCTCTGCCCCGACCTGACCTGGACTTGCAGGCCATTGAGCTGGCTGTGGAGAGCAATCATTACTGCCATGCTCAGAAGGGTCCTAGCAGTGACTGTGACTCCAACAAGGGGCAGGCCCGGCGCCAGCTCTATGTAGCCTCTGCCATCTGCCTGGTGTTCATGATCGGAGAAGTCATAGGTAAGTACTTTTGGGCTAATTAAATGAAGTAGGCGAATGGATAGACTGGATACTCCCAGCAATACTGACACTAATAGCCCCTCTTATTGAACACTTACCATGCTAAGCCTTTGGATACACATTATCTGATGCAGGGCTAACAACAACCTGTGTTATCACATGGGTGACGTTATTTTCTTATTTTACAGACCATGAAACCAAGGCATGTTCAGTTAAGTAACTTGCAAAGATCACGCACAGCTAGTAGCTAAGGGAAGGCCTGAATTCCTAGAAAGAAAGAGCATTTACTGAGGACCTACTTTGCTTTCCAGTCTCTATGTGAACTTGATGTGCACAGCCACCCTCTAAGATGTTGGTGGCCCATTTCACAGGGGGTGGAAGTTGAGGCTCAGAGAGAGTAGGTTACTTGCTCACGGTTGTACAACTCATGGGTGAAGAGATCTTGAACTCAGCATGGCTTTTTCCAGAGCCTGTTTTCTCCCTGCTGCACACACAGTCTGGGGAGCCAGCTCTTTGGGAAGCTGATAAGGACCCTCCACCCTCTGGCCCTGCCCCTGCAGGTGGGTACCTGGCACACAGCTTGGCTGTCATGACCGACGCAGCGCACCTGCTCACCGACTTTGCCAGCATGCTCATCAGCCTCTTCTCCCTCTGGGTGTCCTCCCGGCCAGCCACCAAGACCATGAACTTTGGCTGGCAGAGAGCTGGTGAGGATTGCGGTTGGCTGGTGAGTTAGAACAGGGGTTCTTAGGTAGCTATAATGGGTGGATCCCCCATTCCTCCCCTAAGTGAGGCCAGGAGGGTAATCTGGATGGGGGATGGGGGAAGAGGATCTCAACCATGACCTCTGTCCTCTGCAAAATTCCAGTCTTATGGGGAGCCCTGGTTTCAGTCATCCAGGAGCTCTCAGTCTGCAGGAAGCAAAGTTCACTGTCCTAAGAAGTGCAGTAGTGGGACAGGCACAGTGGCTCACACCTGTAATCCCAGCACTTTGGGAGGCCGAGACGGTCAGATCACAAGGTCAAGAGATCGAGACCATCCTGGCCAACATGGTGAAACCCCATCTCTACTAAAAATACAAAAATTAACTGGGCGTAGTAGCACACGCCGGTAGTCGCAGCTACTCAGGAGGCTGACGAAGGAGAATCGCTTGAACCCGGGAGATGGAGGTTGCAGTGAGCCGAGATCATGCCACTGCACTCCAGCCTGGGCCACAAAGCGAGCCTCCGTCTCAAAAAAAAAAGAGAAGTGCAGTAGCCAAGCTTCAAGAACAAATGACAATGGCATTAACACTGCACATAAATCTGTGGATCAGCTCTAGGGGGAGGGGAAGGCCGGCAAAGCCTGCTGGAAGGTATAGGTTTCAACTTCTCTTCTGTTCTCTTGGGGCTGCATAGTCATCTTCCTCTTTGTGGGAGATGGCCCAGCCTCTCTTACCCAGAAGCCTCAGTTTACTAGCTGGACAAAAGGCATATATTTTAATAAGCCAGCTTCTTTACATGTACAATAAAAAAGGTGGACTCAGATGATGACTTATTTGTTCCTTCTAGCTCTGACATTCCCAAATATATGAGTGGTGGGGTAAGGAGCAGCCATGCCAGCCATACCTTCAGCAGAGCCCAGTGGGACCCAGGCCTTGACTTTGTGTGGGGAGTGGGTGGGGAGGATCCCGAAGGAAAAGGGAAACCTCCTTAGCCTCAGGGCCCATGCCGAGGTGGGTATTGGGGTTGGGTTCTTCCTCAGAGATCCTGGGAGCCCTGCTCTCTGTGCTGTCCATCTGGGTGGTGACCGGGGTACTGGTGTACCTGGCTGTGGAGCGGCTGATCTCTGGGAACTATGAGATTAACGGGGGGACCATGCTGATCACGTCGGGCTGCGCTGTGGCTGTGAACATCATGTGAGTGGGGCCCCGGTTCCCCTCCTCCTCCCACCTCTCACACCCATACCTGTGTCTGCTTTGTGGAAGGAGACCGTACCACTTTCCAGCATAGGGCACAGGGACAGGGACAGAGCTTCCCTAACGGTCTGAGCTCTGACACCTGGAACACCTAGGTCCTGTCTTAGGCCTAGGCCAAGAACACTGGGAGCTGTAAATCTGAGTCCGCATCAACCCTACACACTCCCTGGTACATATCAGGGACTAACCTGGGTGGCTTCATACCTGAAGTGGGGTGGGAAGAGGCTAGTTGTTGCAGGAGTGGATGGCCCTAGGGGCAGAACCCAAGTCTGAAATTGGTCTCAGTTAGAGACAATGGTGTACTGAGCATGGGTGTCTCTTTTGGGCTCTTTATCTCCTTTGCTCAGAGCCTCAGTTTCCCCATCTGTGACATGATGGAGTGAACTTACAGTGACCTCTGTAATGCCCTCCTGCTCTGAGATTTGGCATTGTGGCATTGTGCCCAGACTCAGCTTGGCCTTGGAGCTGAGTCCTATCTCCCGTGGCTCCCTGAACCAAGGCCACGTGGGTTGGACTTCTCATATGGCCAAAAAGATCACAGGGTATGGGGGCTTGAGATTTTTGCCCTACAAGTTGGCTAGCCCTAATAGGTGACCTCCATCTGCGACCTCAGTGAGCCCTTGGCTTTGTCTCCACTGCCATAGAATGGGGTTGACCCTTCACCAGTCTGGCCACGGGCACAGCCACAACACCAGCCAGCAGCAAGAGAACCCCAGCGTCCGAGCTGCCTTCATCCATGTGATTGGGGACTTTCTGCAGAGTGTGGGCGTCCTAGTAGCAGCCTATATTTTGTACTTCAAGGTCAGTGCTGGGGACACAGGGCAGTGGGGTTGGCAGAGGAGTGTAGACCACCTGGGTATCCTCTCTGCAGGGGCCCCTTTTCAATTCTAGCTCCCTCCCAGTTCTGGGGAAAAGGGTGAGGAAAGGAAAGGAACATTTATCTGATACCTACCAAGTGTCGGCACTTCATGTGGTAGTGTTTTCCGTAGCTTAGAAAGGTGCACCGACTTGCATAGTGTCACACAGCTGGTAAAGCGTAGAACCAAATTCAAACCCACAACTGTGTGTTGTCAAACCCTGGGCAGTGCCCATCACATAGAGGCAAGGAGCTATAGTGGAAAGAGCCAAGCATTGGCATTGTTCTGAAGTTTGGCTCTCCTCCTTGCTAGCTGTGTGATGCTGGGTGAGTTGCTTGCCCTGATGAAGCCTCATTTCCCCATCTGTCAAATGGGGATGGATGGCGGATCAGATGGTGTCTAAGATTCCTTTTTGCTCTGTCCATGTCTCAGCTCCTTGAGAAGGAGGGGTGGGAAGGGACTGCCTCATTCTGAACTGTGGTCTGTCCTTTCTGCTCTTGCAGATGTGAAATAGAGTCGAAAACTGGGAGGCAGGGCCAAAGCGAGGCTCATGCCCACCCACCAGAGAGAGCCCCTTTCCCCAACAGTGCTGGGTGGGAGGGGAGAAGGAAAGCAGAGGTGTTAGATGCCCTCCTTTCTTCCTTCAGCCAGAATACAAGTATATAGACCCCATCTGCACCTTCTTCTTCTCCATCCTGGTACTGGGGACAACCTTGACCATCCTGAGAGATGTGATCGTGGTGTTGATGGAAGGTAACCTGGGCTTTGCAGCTCCCTTTCTGCTCTTGGCTGTCAAACTCTAATCAGCTCAAATGGGGTATGTGTGTGTCAGGGGCATCCCAGCACATGTGTGGGGAGCCATGATCTGGAGCCCCCACATAGGCTGGACAGCCTCGTGGGCCCAGGGCTGATCTTGACATGGAGCCTGGGCTTTTAGGTGTGGCAGTTCCTGGAACCATCCCTAGCCCGAGCCTTCCCTTCCCCCTAGCCCAAGGGTGCCTCCTCCTCTGCCTTGTCAAGTGGCTTTTGGGGTGACATCTCTAGCGTCTGGAGCTCTCCAGCCCTCCCCTATAAAATTCCTGAGTCTCTGGCTGCCTTCTCTCAGGAAGACAGAGGGGGTGAGGATTATGCATCCCATTGTACAGAGGGGCAGACTGAGGCTCAGAAAAGAACAGTCAGTCTTGAACAAAGCTACTGAATCCACTGCAGTTCAGGCGTTTCCTACATCTCAGGGGCCAAACAATGCCATACCCTGGGAGGACATGGCTGTACTTTGTGAGGCTGGAGAACTGTCAGTGGTAGAGAATGATCTGGTCTGCCCTGAATTACCTTTTATTATTTATTTTTTTTGAGATGGAGTTTCATTCTTGTTGTCCAGGCTGGAGTGCAATGGTGCAACCTCGGCTCACTGCAACCTCTGCCTCCCAAGTTCAAGCGATTCTCCTGCCTCAGCCTCCCGAGTAGCTGGGATTACAGGCACCCACCACCATACCCACCTAATGTTTGTATATTTTAGTAGAGATGGGGTTTCTTGAAACCAGACTGGTCTCAAACTCCTGATCTCAGATGATCCACCTGCCTCAGCCTCCCAAAGTGCTGGGATTACAGGCATGAGCAACCGTGCCCAGCCTTTCTTTCTTTTTTTTTTTTTTTGAAACAGGGTCTTGCTCTGTCATCCAAGCTACAGTGCATTATCAACACCACAGCTCACTGCAGCTTTGACCTCCCAGGCTCAAGTAATCCTCCTTCCTCAGCCTCCCAAGAAGTTGGGACCACAGGCACATGCCACCATGTCTGGCTAACTTTTAAACTTTTTTGTAGAGATGGGGGGTTTCACCATGTTGCCCTGGCTGGTCTTGAACTTTTCGGCTCAAGCAATTGTCTCACTTCAGAGTCCCAAAGTGCTGGATTACAGATGTGAGCCACCACACCTGGTCCTGCACCTTGGTTTCCTTATGCTCTAGGCCTGGGGTCTTGGGCCAGGGTCATAGGCCTCTGTATGGTCAGGGTCAGTCTGAAATTGAGTACGATGCTGGCCTGGGCTTAGCAGGATTATTTGGCTGCAGGTCAGAGCTTTTTCTCCAAGAATATGATGGATTCAGAAAAAAGCGATAACGATGAAGATGACGATTGTGCCCTGGATGGGTCTAAGGATTCTCAGGATCTGTTCTTTCCTTCTTTCCATTAAAAAATATATTTATTGGATGGGCGCAGTGGCTCACATCTGTAATCCCAGCACTTTGGGAGGCGGAGGCAGGCAGATCACCTGAGGTCAGGAGTTCGAGACAAGCCTGGCTAACACAGTGAAACCCTATCTCTACTAAAAATTTAAAAATTAGCCAGGCATGTCAGCACACACCTATAGTCCCAGCTACTCAGGAGGCTGAGGGAGGAGAATTGCTTGAACCTGGGATGGGAAGGTTGCAGTGAGCCGAGATCATGCCATTGCAGTCCAGCCTGGGCGACAGCAAAACTCCATCTCAAAAAAAAAAAAAAATATATATATATATATATATTTATTTATTTATTTGTTTGTTTATTGAGCACCTACTATGGAGTAGGCATTGTTCTAGGCACCAAGGATACTGTGGTAAACAGAGGAGACTGTCCTGCCCTCATGGAGTGTCCATTTTTAGAGGGGGAGACTAACAATAAGTAAATTCACAAATAATTTCAGACAGTGTTAAGGGTGGAGAGGAAATGCAACAGACTGATAGGGTGGAGAGCGTGGGAGGTGAAGGCAGCCTCAGACCTGCTGACCAAGGAGGTCTTCTTTGAGGGGATGACGCTTGAGGAGCAGGAGCCAGCCCTGCACCAATGGGCAGGCATGGGAGGGCAGTTTCCTTTAGCCCCTGTCCTTGCTGTCCTCAGGGACCCCCAAGGGCATGGACTTCACAGCTGTTCGGGATCTGCTGATGTCAGTGGAGGGGGTGGAAGCCCTGCACAGCCTGCATATCTGGGCCCTGACCGTGGCCCAGCCTGTTCTGTCTGTCCACATCGCCATTGGTGAGTGCTTGGGACACTCAGGATGGGGTGGGAGACAGGCAGCCAAAGGTGTGGTGCCATCCCCATCGGGTCCAGGTGACCCCAGATGCTCACAGTGTCCATGCATCAGGCCCAGCCTCATGCTGAGTACTTGATATGCATTATTCCATCTGATCATCACAATCTCAATTACCCATGAAGACACTGAGGCTGGGGTTGGGTGGTAAAGTACTTGCCCAGGCCCCCTACCCTTTTGTTTTTTTGAGACGGAGTTTCACTCTTGCTGCTCAGGCTAGAGTGCAGTAGCGAGATCTTGGCTCACTGTAACCTCCACCTCCCCGTTTCAAGTGATTCTCCTGGCTCAGCCTCCTGAGTAGCTGGGCTTACAGGTGTGCGCCACCACCACCAACACCCCCGATCGCCCCCGCCCCCTGCTAATTTTTTTTGCATTTTTAGTAGAGACAGGGTTTCTCCATGTTGGTCAGGCTGGTCTCGAACTCCCAACCTCAGGTGATCCTCCCGTCTCAGCCTCCCAAATTGCTGAAATTACAGGTAGGCATGAGCCACCACATGCGGCCCCAGGCTTTTACAGCTAGTATATGGCAGTAGGTGGCAGATTCCTGGCCCTAAGACCAATGCTCTACCAGCTCTTTCAGGCATGAGCCAGGTCTGGGCTGGGAGGGTACCTGGCAGAGGAGTGGAATCTGGGGGTTTCTCCATGTTCATGGTCCCCCATCCTGTTCTGCTGGGGATAGGGTATGAGATCCGGGCTCCTGATGGTTCCAAAGGGCCAGGAGTAGTAAACAGCTTTCTGGTACCTCCCTGCTGTGTCCTCTTGGCCCCCAGCTCAGAGTACAGACGCCCAGGCCGTGCTAAAGACAGCCAGTAGCCGCCTCCAGGGGAAGTTCCACTTCCACACCGTGACCATCCAGATCGAGGACTACTCAGAGGACATGAAGGACTGTCAGGCATGCCAGGGTCCCTCGGACTGACTGCCTGGCCAGCTGCCAACTGGGGCATGGACAGGACCTGCAGGTGGCTGGACTGAGTGTCCCCCAGGCCCAGCCAGGACTTTGCCTACCCCAGCAGTGGTATAAACCGGGCACCCCCTCCTGACCTCTGCTTCATGTTCAGTGTAGAGCCTTGCCCCACTTCAGAAATGGAGCTCTTCTCTGCCTCCCCCACCTGACTACAGCCAGCGCCAGGGTGGGGACTCAGCGGGTACACAGCTAGTGTGACCCTGCTCCTCCAGCCCCTGGGCTAGGTCTGGAAAGGCTGTGTTTGGGCCTAATCCTCAGCAGATGTCGCTCTACCACTCGCAGGGACAAAGGCAGTGAACCATGGGACGTCCAAGGGGAGGCTGGCCCCAGTGCACCCCTACAACCTGCCTTGTCCCCCATTTCAGCCTGACTGGCCTTTGCCTTTATGACTCTGAGCCCTTTCCTCTGCCTTTAGCAATAGGGTTTAAGGAGGTCACAGGGGTGAGGACCACACACTCTCATTCCAGCCCCCTGAGGCAGGGAGCCAGGAGGCACCTAAGGCTTGCCTATGCCTTAGTCACCTCAGCTATGGGCCAAATGTCTCCTTTCCTGGAGAGGAGAGGCTTCTTCCTAGGTAAGGGACTGGTTTCCTCTTTCCTTATTCCCTCAGCTGTGCTAATACAAAAAAGAACCTTGGCACAGATGGTGGGGGTGGGAGGCATACAGAGATTTCTTGGGTTCTGCATTAACAGCCTGTAAGCCCTCTGGCACTTCTGTTGCCCTGAAGAGTGTTCCCAGGGATTCCAAGCCTCCAAAAAGATACAGCTGGGCCAGCTCTGCTGTCTACCTGGCCTGACCCAGTCGGAGCCTGGGTGTGGAAACGGGAGAGGGAGAGAAGCGGGGCTGCCCTTGGCCCAGAGGCCAGCTAGGAGGGAGACCACGGCTTCCTGGGGCTTGTGTGTGAAGATTCCCAACAGGGGTGGCTTGTGTTTACAAGATGCAGGAGGGGAGACCTGTCCCCAACTCACCAAGACAACTTAGTTATCAGGGAGTCCTGCGTCACAGGGTCTGTCTCTGCCATTGTAAGCAAGTGCCTCAGTTAATGCCTCCCTCTCAGGGTTGAGAACAAAAGCCAGTTGGCCAAGGACATGTGGTTGTTGTATGGTTACTTTCATCACCCTGGAGGCAGGGAACTCTGTGGCCCGAGGCTGCCTTACTGAGGAGCCACGGGGCTTCCCAGCCTTCCCAGGGGCAGCGAGTTTGTCTTGACTGTTTTGGCCCAAGGTGGGAGGAGGTGGGTTTGGTCACTTGCCTCCCACTTTAAATCTCTTTCCGTCTGTGAAACGACCTCTTTGTGCCTTCCCAGCGCTGTCATCCTGATCTAGGTCAGTGGGTCCTTCAGCCCCTCCAGGTCTGTGTGGTGAGGGGTGGGCGTTGCAGGCGGCCGCTCCGTTCCACCACAATCTCAAGGGATTCAACCCTCTGACCGTCCCCTGCCCTGCCCAAGTCATGGCAGGCCCCCAGGAACTTGATCCTGGGCTTTGTTCTGTGCCAAGTCCTTATATCCCTCTCAAGAGACAGTCATTGGCTAGGTGTGGTGGCTCACGCCTGTAATCCCAGCACTTTGGGAGGCCGAGGCAGGCAGATGTCTTGAGACCGGAGTTCAAGACCAGCCTGGCCAACATGGCAAAACCTCATTTGCACTAAAAATACAAAAATTAGCCAAGCGTGGTGGCATGTGCCTGTAATCCCAGCTACTCGGGAGGCTGAGGCAGGAGACTCACTTGAACCCGGGAGGTGGAGGTTGCAGTGAGCCAAGATAGCACCACTGCACTCCAGCCCAGGTGACAGAGCGAGACTGCATCTCAAAAAAATAAATAAATAAAAGAGACCATCATTGCTATCCCACATTCTTACAGATGAAAAAACTGAGGCTCAGAGGTTGATTCGTTTTCCTGAAGTACTCAGCCAGTGTGGGCAGGTCTGGGATTTCTGCTTTATTCCCCTAGACCTTCCTTTTCTGCAGGGGCTGGGGGCCTGGTGTGGGCTGCTTGTTGATGCAGTACGAGCCCTTGAGACCAGCAGTGCCTGATCCACTGGCAAGGCCATGTCAAGGCAGTTCAGTGTCCTGGGTGTCACAGCTGTGATTGGAAAGGTGCCTCTTTTCCCTGGCTGGACCCTGGGAAGGCTGCCTGGGCCGCAGCTGTATGCTTTCCTACCCACCCTCAGTTCTTGACTCCAGCCCAGACTGCCTCTCCCCCACGGCTTTCATTCCAGTCCCCCCTGTAGCTCAAACATCTCACAGCACCACGCCTCCCAAGGGTGACCCACTCTACCACTCAGCTGTGATTGGCTCCAGGGAGGATCTGAGTCATCCAGGGGCCCTACGTCCAGCTAGGGGGTGGGGGTGGAAGGCCTTGGAGAGGCCTAAGGGGACAGCATGTTCCTGCCAGTGAGCCAGTCACGGGAGTTTCCAGAGCTACGAGGCCATCAAAGCAGGAAAACACCTGACACCCTGGACCTGGGCTGGACCCGCCACCCTCACCCCCTGGAGTCGACCCTGCTCCCAGGCAAGCCCTAAGCCCTGAGCCTTTCCCTCCAGCAGCTGCTGTAAGGGTATTTATAGCCTGGAGCGTGAGGGGACAAGGACACGCGCTTTATTTCCGAAGTGATAATTCCAGTTCCAGGTAGGTGAACCCGGGAGGACCTAGTGTCCCCGCCCCAATTCCATCCTCAACTATAGTCCCTGCTCGGGACAGTCCCCACTCGCGCCCAGCCCACCTAGAAACAGTCCCTTCTTACTGAGTTCCAAGTGTTCAGGCCAAAGAGATGGGACTGTTCTTCAGATTCCTCTCCCCAGATTTCAGACTCTCAGCTGCCCACAGCGCTCACCCTCCACGTCCCCGGCAGCCCTCTGCCCTGCGGGTGGGGAGTGCGGCGCGGCGCTGACCTCTAGTGGTCGGCGTTGGTAGTGCAAGGCAGACGGCCCAGGTTGAGCCGCGGGGGCGCACCGGGCGGGGGACTGCCACTTGTTCCCATCCCGCTTTCCTCACCCCACTCCTCGTTTACCCGCACCCTTCTGCTCCTTGGCTGAGGCCCAAGGATTGAGCCTGGCAACGCAGTCGTCTTTGGGTAGCTGCCTTCCCGGGACTAGGAACCCTGGATGGAGGGAGCTCTGTCTCTCCGCTCAGTGTCCCACCTCCACCCGCATCGAGGCAGGCACGCAGTTAATGTCTGCCATCCATCCATTTGTCAAATATTTGCGGCACACCTGCCGGGTCAGAGAGAAAAGGACACGACACGACCCGCCCCCCGCTCCTCCACCGGGCCCGCAAGCCAGTCCTGGGACCTGACCGGGCGGGATCGCGGCAAACACTGGGCTGCGAAAGCGCAAAGGAGACCCAACCCATCCGGGTCGGGGAGGAAGGAGAGGCAAGTCCCTGGAGGAGGCGATGCTCTGAAAGACAAGCAGAAGTCAGCTGGGTGAAGACGCAGAGAGAGAGCGGCGCTCCAGCCACGGTGCTCGGCCTCAATATTGGCTCTGCCGCCGAGGGCTGGCGGGAGAAGATAAGGCCACACCCCCTGCTGTAATTGGCCAACCGGGGTCCGACATGTGGGACCTCTGGCTGCCATGATTGGTTTTCCCGTGTCCCTGGGCGGAGCCCGCAGGCAGGTGCTGCGCCCTCTGGGAGCAGGGCTGGGACCTCCGCTGGGATCTCTGCGAGTCGCCCCCTAGGGCTTCTCCAGGCTGCGGTACTTCTTGCGCTGCACGGACACCGGGTCCTTAAAGAGCACTGGGTCCAGACGCAGACGAGAGGACCGCAAGGGCATGTGGCCGAACGCTGCCGCTATCTGGTTGATGCAGTTGGGGTCTGGAGCCTGCAGCTTTGGCCCGGTGTCCGGGCCCCCGGGCACCTAACAGGAACAGAAACAATGCGTTAATGGCCTTCTCTGCCTTTCCGAACTCCCACGCCCGTGTAGCAAGAGAGACTAGAATTAGACAGTGAGAGGAAATCCTCCCCGCCATCCCTGCCAGTTCCGACCAGTCCCCCTCAGCCCTCACCAGTGGAGCAGCCTCCTGTCGCTGCTTGCCATAAGGAACCTTGATAGGGGGCAGCTTGGTGACTGCTGCTACTAGGAAATTCATCAGGACGTCCACACAGGTGGGTGCCTCATCTGCCAGGGTCCTCAGAGCCTTGGGCAGGGAGTGGGTGAAGAGAGTGTGGTAATACCTGGACAAGGGGAAAGGACAGGGAGAGATTGCAGAAAAATTCATCCCCAGGCCCCATTCTCCTCCCCTCTGACTTCACCTCTCCCTTCCATCCCCGAGCCTCTGAGCTCTGGCTGCCTCCGAGAGTTCCCATCCCTGACATAAACAGCTCTCCACTGTGCTGTGCCCAGGGCTCATCTGCAGCCAGTGGTGTGTTCCCTGCCCTCTCCCCCACAGCTCCTTGGGGCTCCCATCCTTGGGCTCTGAGTTCTGAACTCAGGCAGAGCCAAAATTAGGTAGGCTGGGATCAGCTGGTTTCAAAGCCATCAAACATGGCAGCCCAAAGACCAGTTGTGGATGAACCAGGCTGATGCTGCTCTGGGTGAGCCTCACTTCACACGGCCCTCAGACAGGCCAACCTCACCTCGCAGACACTCGATTATTCTTCACTCTACTGAGAATTCCCTGCAGAGCTCCTGGGTACTCTACAAGAGGTTCCAGGTTATGCACATTTGATTTAAACATGTTTAAGGAACCCCTCTAAAGAGGTCCTGCAGAATTCAGTCCCTACCCCAAGACCGGAGCACTTCAGGCACCTTCTGGAAGATCTGGGATGGTCCCCAACCCACACATCCACATTTACAAAGCATCAGGATTATTCTTTTGTCACCCCACCACCAGAAAACTCACACACTGCCTTTATTCACTCCATGGCTTTACTTAAAATAACAATTGTTACCATTTGTGGAACCTCTGTGTGCCAGGGACTTCATTTAATGATCACACCAGCCCTGGGAGGTGAGTCCATCCCATTTTACAGTTGAGGAAACAAACTCTAAAGAAGTGGGGAGATTTGCCCAGGATCCCACAACTAGGAAGTGGCAGATCTGGGCCTTGAACCTGGATCCCTGGGGTTCAACCTGAGC